TCTTTGTGCTGCAACACGCGTATCCGTGTGCGGAACTCCCAATCGTGGTACGCGGATGCACTGCCAGCGTATATATAGCTGCCACTTTTTGTCTCGGCAGGGGAGCTATGTCCCCATTGCTGGGCTCCTGCATACTTAAGCCCTGCAACGGACATGGCTCCACGGGGCGCTTTTACGACAAGTTAGGGGGCGCTGCCCTAAATACCATACAACTGTTAGACGAGGTGAAACGAGGGTCGTGGTTCGCCAGCTCCGCTACCAATTTGAAGCTGAAGACAAGTTGCGAACGCTCCGACACTATACAAGTAGCCGATTTTCCCGCTTGAACTCAAGGCGCCTACGGAGTGCACGTCTTTGCGCTACATCCTCACACTGACACTATACAGGCTGCTACCATCACAAGCTAACACGGCTTCCTAAAAGCGCTCGACATCCGACAGGGTACTTTCACAATACTACATACATATTACCTGCATTACACACATCGAAAAAATCAAAGATGACTGAGGCTCAGAAGGGATGCTGGGATGAACTGAGGGTGTCGGCCTTCAGCGATCTTCTTGCAAGGTTGATAGTGGCTGTACGACCGATAAGGGGCTGTCGGCTTGCTTAGACATGCGCGATTGCATAGGGCTTTTCTCAGGAACAAACAACGATGCCGTGAGACCACGCCTCGTCGTGGGCCCGAACGACGCCAAACAAAATTGAAAAACAGCAGCACTCGAAAAGTCCAACAAACTCAAAAGCTTCGAGAAGGGCAGACACGCGCACAAAAGTCAAACAGATCGACAGGCGCTTAAACACGCAAGAAGTCGACGAGTCACAACAAAGGCTCCACTTGTTGAAAGCGGCCGTTACGTAGCAGCCCGCACATCCGAGAATCATGTTGAGCATCTTCTGGAAAGTTCCGTGAGGCTCCAAAAATTGCACAGAAGCGCTCATGCGCCGACTCCTAAGGCCCTAAACCTTAGGGTTAGCGACATGTCAATGGTCAATGATAGCGAGGCGGCCTTAGCCAACGGCGTGTCGACCCTGTTCTTTCGATTGTGTCTTTTTCATCGACTGCAGAAAAGAAGGTTCACCCAAAGTCTCACCCCATCGCATCTCTGGAGCTTCGTTTTGCTCCATGTAGCCCACGCTAATGGCACGACGGCGTGCAAGGAGAAGAGCCCTCGCGCTTGCTCGCAGCCTGAGCCTGAGCCTCCTTCGCAAACCGCCAAAAAGTCCCTAAAACGCACAGGACATTCGATGATGGCCCATCTATGACTTGAGCAGACACGGTGACAAGGCTGTGGAGGGCAAACTTGGGCCTCGAGAGGGTGCCCGCGTTGGCCTCACAAAGAGGCTCGAGGCTGAGGCTGGCGGTTTTGTCTGTTTTGCGCCCTTCTTGGGGGCCAAGCCCAGAGGTAGAAGCCCAGGAGGGCGGAGCCGGCAACCGAAAGTGCCATCACCAGCCTGCAAAAGCACGGCTTGGCGGCGCTTGGCGGCGCTTGGCAAGAGCCCATGGCGACGGCGCCGAGCTCCGCGCCAGATCAGCAGCACCGTGCAGTGCCGCAGCGCCACCAGGTACATGTACCTCCCGCTCTCCGCACTTCAAGAGCGCTCTTTTTGTTTAGGAGGATCTGAGTCTGAGGATTTCACCCCAAAAGGACGGCCAGGAAGAAGGCGATGAGCAGCACCGGCCACGCTGCCGGGATAGACCTCGGGGCGGTTTTAAGAGCGGAGAGAGACATCAACGGCGCAGGGGGGGCCCTGCGAGAGCTGCTCCATGAGTCGCTCCGTGTGCTGGCTCAGCAGACCTCCGGGCCGAAAAGCGGGCGAAATGTGCCCAGGCCCTGGGGCCGAAAGCCAGCAGCGGTATTCTAGTAGTATTTTCGGGGGGCCCGGGCCTGACTCGAGGGAGTTGGCGGCGTTCTTTAGGAGCCCGGAGCTGTCCTCACGGACACGAAGATAATCCCTGCTCCCCTGTGAGATGTAACTTGGGCGTGTCTCACCTCGCAAGGCGTACAGGAACACAGGCACGCAAGTGTCCCTTTTTCTACAAGCACACGGCTGTAGTCTGGATACCCTGCTATGCTGGAACCTTGAGCACAGACATGGAACCATGCAAGTGATGTGTGAAGTTGACAATGCCCGGAATGTGNNNCATTCGGTACTTCAACCAGGCAAAAAGTTAAAAACACATAGACTGCATGGCCGTTAAATCGGCGATCACTCTGTCTGTTTACCTCAAGCGAATTGCTACTGCGGAGTGTCATAAACTGCAGCAAAAGTGATTCGAGAAATATACATCTGTACAAATCCCTTGCCTGGAGACAGCTGGTTACGAAAGCAGAACAAGCACACAAACAAACGGATCTTCGGTTCAAAACTCAACTGAAAAATATTGCCCACATGTTCAGTCACCTCTCCAGAATGGAAAGCATATAGAGCTTAGCTCCATTTGATGCCAGCTATTGGCATTTTGCGGCTGTAAGAGTTATTCGGCTCTTTTGGGTTTCCTCCCATAAGAGAAGTATCTCATTTGCTGTTTGGGCAAATGTTACAAGAGAAGTTCCTCTTCAAAGGAAGAGCATCTTCTTTCTGAAATGGAGAAAGGGCTGACCGAAAGATACCTTCTCAAGGAAGAAGCATTCTTTTAACAGTCACAAAGAAAAACGCTTAGTCGACCACCTCAAATCATGATCCCAAGCTCTATCACGGGTCCCTCTGCCACTCCACTGGTAAGGAGTGCCACCGAAGATGACTACAGGTTGAAGAAGAGTGATAGGATCAGGTCGATCTGGAGGAGGTCGTGGTGCAGGTCCGTAGACCGGCTGTTCCGACTCAGAGTCAGACTCTAGTCAGAAGTTCGCTCTTCACTTTTTGCTCTGCTGGCAGTCTTATCCATTTGCACGAAGAGCTAGCTGGGCATGCCTTCCAACTTTCAGCCGCCCTCGAAGAAAACGTAAGAGCAGCTTCGTGCTTTGAAGAAAAGAAAACCACCCATCTCTTCCCAACTGTCACCAGTGCAAATGGCAACACTTAGCGCCGTAAGGATGCCCAGGCGTTCAAGCACGCAGTCAAGCCTTCGACGCAGCGTCTGTCGAGCAGGACGCAGCGTCTGTGTCGAGCAGGGCCAAAGCTTTGCTGTAGGGTGGAGATCCCGGAAGGCGAGGTCGACAAGCTGTACCAAGTCTGCAGGTTCTATATAGTTTTGCTGACTGGCGGCGCGCTGCACGAAGTCTTGTCTTGGGTTCAGCAACACGAAGCAAAATATAGTTTTGCGTCCACAAGACATCTCGCGGGAGGATAAGCGCAGCACGTGATGCTGCCGTAGCCTCCCCGATGCGCAAAAGCGCTCCCCAGGCCAAGCCAAAAACTCCTGCCTCTGTCCTCCATCCCCAGACCAAGCAAACCGATAGCACTGCTAATAAGATGACCGCCGGCATTGCGATGTGATGCGTGTGCGGCTCCAAACTCATCCACGAGAAAGCAAGGTCCCAGGCCTGTTGCAGCTGTCGCCTTATCGCAGGTCTACGGGCAGCCGTCGGGCCGTGGCGTTGACAGTTTCAGCAAAATGCCAATACGGCCTTCCAGCGTCAAAGAGCTCCCGACCATAGTCAGTGAGATGCTTGGCGACGGTCTCGGCAGGAAGGTCCAAAAGACACTTTGTGAAACACCACGGGCAGCAAGCCAGCTCTCAACCAGCTTCAAGAAAACCCAGCAGCCACGACCTGTTTGCGGAGGTCCTCTCGAGCACGGTCCGGCCTTCGGGGAGCTGCAGGTGGGCGCGGGACCTTTGTCTCCTCTCATCCAAAGCGTTTCTTGGTCCAACTGGCCCCTCGCCAGGGTAGCCGAGAGTACTGTCAAAAGACTTCTGTGGGTCCCGATGATTGGCGCTGTCAGAAGAGCCCGAAGGAGGGAGAGCCGGATCCAGCCGGAGGAAGGAGCGGACAGGCCACTAAGTCTAAGGAGGGAAGGCAAGGCAGAAGGACCGAGACCGGAAAGGACGAACCTTGCGTGGGCGGGCCTCAGGGGTTTTTGCCTGGAGGGGTCATCGGCAACGCTGAGGCGCGTCGGTCAAACCGACGTAGATTCCACCGGCAAGGAGGTAGGCGGCAAGACGCATCGCAGAAGCTTGGACGACGAACGACCCTTGGCAAAGCTCCTCGCTGAGGGCAGGGCGGGAAGCAGCACGGACAGAGGCGGCTGCAAGAGCTAGCCTCTTCTAGATGGGGGCGCCATTTAGCGTCATGCCTTCACGAACGATCTCAGCGCTGCTGTCAACAGCCGCGCCGGCAACTTTGAAAAGCCGCTGGGCCAGCACATCCTTTGCGTCGGAGCCCTCGACAGAGTCCCTTTGGTAGGCTCCCTTCGCACGAAGCACTGCAGCAAGGGAGCCGCAGGCACCGCCAGGCTCAAACGAAGCAGACTCGAGGCTCGGACCAAAGTAGTCATCGATTATCAGGCCATCCAGGGCCCCAGGGCCCGTGGGCGGCAACCCTGGATCTCGACTGCAACCTGCCCCGGCCCTGAAGGCAACCAAAGCTCTTTGAAGCAGTCTGAAACAATGCCTCCTAAACCGAAGTTACGAACTCGACTCCTCGCGTCCCCTTGCAGCAGGGCACGGTGGACCGGGCTGGAGTCGGAGACTAAGACGGACCTTTCGGGGAAGTCGAGCTCCCCTTCACACGAAGACAGAGCCCAAGCCTGACCCAATGCGACTGAGGAAGGAACGATAGGCCGCTGGCCGCTGTGCCTCGACTCTCAGCCAAAGAGAAAGCTGGACCGATGGCGTTCGTCCTGGATCTCTCAAAGGACACACCCGCCTGCATATAAAAGTCGCGGCGATCTGTCACTGAGCCCACCTTGGTCCAGCTGCTCCGTTGCCAGGAATCTGTCCGGTACACACAGCAATAAGCCAGAGGGACGCTTCATAATACAGTAAGCGAGGCATTGGTAGGTGATCTGGTCCTGAGTCGCCACCGGCCAGGAAGACTCCACAATCTCAACGGCACCCGACTCAACAGCTGAAATGGCCTGGAAGTCCATGTCACCGAGTTAGGGACAAGGGGTAAGCCAACCCTGCTGCAGCAAAGAAGACCCTGCACTCCGAAGTCGAAGGGAAGCCACGCGTAACCGAGCACCCCAAATCAGTGCCGACGATCCGCCTGAAGGCGGTGAGGGAAGCAACGACAGCTGGGCTCTCAAGGCCCGAGGCAAGCAAGATGCAATAAAGCCTCGAAGAGAGGCCCAAACAAGGGGTCGGGTCAGGACGATCGACCTCGGCCCTCAGAACAGCGCCAACCACAGCCCGCTGACTTGCACTAAGCTCCGAACCAGAGAGGGTGCGACACAAGCCCAAGCAGCTGTCAGGAATGGCGGGAAAGTTCAAAGCAAGATGCTGGCAGGAGGAGAAATCCAAGGCAGGACCTCCCCTACTCTGGCACAACCGAAGTGGAGGAGGAAGGTGACCCGAGGCCTGCAAGGGGTTAGGGCTCACCGGCGTATCAGGGCTTGTTGGGCGCCACGAAAGAGCCAGCCGAAGGGCTTGATTGCTAACAAGCCCCTGATGCCCAATCCGGAGAAGTTCCAGGGCACCTGCAAAGGCCATGAAGAACCCTCTACTCACTCTACTCTTGAGTGCTTGAGCGGCGGTCGTTTCCCTATAGGTCTTGCCTCCTTTGCCGCCTTTGCCAGAAGTAGCTTGACCACCAGGAGGATGTGCGGGTTCGGCAGGACGTCGCGAACCAGAAGCTGTAGAACCGCCCCTGCAGGGGGGGAGCCATGCTCCTTAGCCGAATGTTTGTAGCGGCGGTGGGCTTTAGCGATGTCTCGCCCTCCTCCTCATGTTCTCTTAGCAGGTGCTTCTTTTCCTTAGCACCAGGGGAGCGTAGCTTGTCCCGGCACTTGACCCGGTGGTTAACGCGCACACCATGGGTAGCGTCATGTATGATGCGCTTCTTGTCTAGCTCCT